CTTTGGTTTTGGAAGTAAAAGGCGGTGGAAGGACACGGATGGGCTCCAATTTCCAATACCATGGCCTAGACAAGCAACTTACTATATGAAACCGCTGTGCCTGAATGTTTTTTTTTTCACTCCAAGGAGAAATGGAACCTTTACATAGACTATCATATAGTTTCGTTTGGATTTGGATTTTGTGCTGTAAATTCTCCCAATTCCTCAAGAAGGGTATGGGACTGCCTTGACATATGAAATCTAAGCTAAGTGTATGGTCATTAACTATTATACACACTTACATGTAGACACGTTCAGGCGTATTTCATGAGGGCCCACTGCAATAGTCTCTACTTTCAGTGCCGGCCTAAGAGTAAGAGAAAAGAATAGAGCAGGTTAAATAAAACAATACAGAGGAAAACATCTTTTTCTGCTCATTAGAATCAAAAGTGTACATAATTAGGAATGTACGGGGACATTGGAGATGGCATCAGGAATACACTTTTACGATGAAACAAAAGTATGAATTTTTCCTTATTTTGTTTTCTCATGTTACAATTATGATTCCGTTTGCTGATAAAAACGATCACAATGTGTGGCTTAGATACTGTGTTTTATTAAAAAAAAAAAGTAATTCTATGATTTAGGTGATAATTTAAGTATAACCATGTCCTACCTGTCTTGGCTGGTCTCCAGAAAATGTCTCATCTTTTCGGGGATGTTGTCATCAGGATCTGCCTTTTCAGTCTCCATTTGGGAAAACATCTGAAGTTTGTATGCAACATTTCATAACTTCACGTACAAGATACAAACTAGATAGGTAACATTTGCAAAGCAAATGCATAATGTTTACCTTCTCATATGGTCTACTCTGTTAATTCTTACTCAAATACATTCACATGTATGCTGAGAGGAGTATAAATCCCTCTTACTATAAAATTGCAACATTATGTAACCCAACATGCACCAGTTACCATGGTGAGAGACAGGGTCAGAGGTCAGTGTTTGGAACGGAAGAAGAAGAAACGTAGCAAAAATAATATGTTTTCCTTCGGTAAACATAAATATTACCTAAGCAATAGGTTGTTTGTGAACTGCGCAACGAGCTTATCATTGGAACTGATGCGTTTTGAATTCTAACAACGAACAAACAGAAAAGAATCCATTTATACCAATGAAATAACTTGACGACCCCGTTTAACTGATGCAGGTTTTCCTCCAGTGGTTCTTGTCATTGTGCAGTTATTTCATTTCCACCCTCAGCCGTCGCCAGTTAATCAGATCCCGTCTCCTCGGGAAATAACCTCTTGTACTTACACCGGATCCACTTGAATTTAAATTACATCATACGTCACCCTAGTACGAACCTTTAGTCTAGACATATAACGCTGGCAGATATTACTGAAATAACAATTTATATAAATATTTTTCCGCATAAAATTGCGGAATTTTCATCGTAACAGTGTGAATTTATATCTATATTTCTTAAAATTTACTTTCTTACATTATTAACATTTGCATTGTAATTGTATTCGTCGTGTCGGGAACGCTGACAGGAAGTTAGGTCAAAGGTCCAAGAGAAGGTTATCTCATTTCCTGTTTAAATTTTCCTGCTATATGCAGGTGCGTTGCCTTATGGGAGGCAGAACCAGAGAGATAAATTCAAAATAATGAATAATACTGAAATTATCAAACAGATCGAAAACATAAGCTTCGTACACAGAGGTAAGAATTGTATGCTTGTATTGGGTGCTGGGCTTTAAACAGAGAAAGTTACTGGCGAATTCGGATACAACATAGTTTTAAGAGTGCACTGAGAACTACAAAAAATAACATTCACAACGGATACACATATTAATATGCAATCAAACATATAAGGGGAATATCGATGAATCACTGCTAGTATTCGACTTGTTTGTATTATTTTTGTTTATTTGAACCATTCTTTATTATTCAAAGAAGATCAAATCATTATAATCTTTATAATATATAATCTTAGTTTCATTGAGGTCATGAGGGAAGAGGTAAGGGTTAGGCAAAATATACAACGTACAGTTTCTCTACATGTTTTTAATAGACTGCTTTATGAAAAAAATGGTTGAACTCACCAGTTTGCATGAGGACAGAGAACTTGCCATGGTTCCAGGATAATACGTGCAGACAGAGGTTAGGGAGTACACAAGCTGAGAAAAAACGCGTACAATCTCTTCTGCTTCCTCCCTTTGGCTGAACCCTCTCGTAACATCGCAGACTTTACCATAATTACGTGTAGAAGGGCGCATTTAAACCGTAGGAATCAGGGTGACTGTAATCACCAATCAAGACGCCCTGCATCCAGCCAGTATAAGGCACCCTAATGTAATTTTATGGATGACATCCGCGCGCGCATTTATTTTTGCCTGTTCTCAACGACAACGAAACAAAAACTCCGAGGCTCTTGCCTGGGTACCATCCTCCGTAGTTAATTGTAGTTAGTGACAATAAGGAGCCTGTGGTAACTACATAGGACGGCAATCAGGCTACCGAGACTCCACGGAACTCTAGAATTCATTACGGTGCAGACTCATAGATGCTGCAAAAGGCCAACATGTGTAGGCTTGTTTTAAATGTAGCCATGTACAACCGCAAATGCGCAATACCAGCTTTGTATTCCTGTGGTCTAGCTGCATTTTGGGGGGCCGGAAATTTTTTTCATTGGCCCGCTCGCATTAGTTTAGTATTCAGAGGATACCATCCATAAAATTAAGTCAGCGTGGCCTAATTATGTATACCCGTCGATCCCAGGCTGCCTTGAAATTGCATCTGATGCCTTCAAACACTGAATTTTTTGTGTGGGGGGGGCGCGTACAAAATTCGTCACTACACAAACTCGAATGAAGATAAAATTATCTTACCAAGGATATTAAAGGAAATGATATCCTTGATCTCACTTTTTTAAAATCCTTTTTAGACATAAAAGTAATTTTCTCTCTGTGAGCGAATCTGTAATGAAATAACATTTACTTAACAAACGATGCGGTTGCAAAATGAACTGGACATTATGGGTTAAATTTTCAGGTGTCTTTTAGTCTTATCTGGCTTTAATCAGAACAGTGAGTGCCTAGGGTCATGGGGTCGTGGTAGAATTCGACTGCAGCACTCACTGAGTAGCTCTTAGTAATCAGAATGCCAATATATGTCTAGACTAGAATTTTCTGGGAATTTTTTCGTCTGTGGTGTGGTTTTTAAACGTTAGGCTAGAATATCAGTAGTTGTATAGTAGGTATAACCACCTTTTAGGCGTTATTTTAGCACACTAGATTCTGTATCTCTATAGCCGGTATAACTACAATTTGGCGTAACACACCAGCTTCGAATTCTGTATCAATACATAGCCAGCTTGTGCACTTTCTTTTTTCACTAATTTCTAATTTTTGTACGGTACTGCCCGGTGCATTTATAAATGAAATATTGTTTATAATGCCTTTTTCTCTTATAAAAGTTATGGTAGACCCTGATGTACCATTCATTGGTCAACTGTGTGGCATAGACCCTTCCAAATTGCTATACAAGACTGTATACAAGACGAAAACGCGATGGGTTGTGGGCGCTGTCCTTAGTGCTGAAATACAAGTCTAGTACGGCTACTCCCTCAAACATGTTCAAATGCAACGTTAACTGACGCGCTGCTACCATAATAAAACTTCCTGTCTGCAGTCGTCAATCAAAATTGGCAATTCGCCCAATGCGAGATCAGGATTTGGTCACGTGGCAGGCTAGGGGGCGTGGTTTCAGGAACAGTCTAATACCACAGTATTTACACTCTGTTCTGGGATTCTATTACGTGTATCCCTTCGCAACAAAAGAAACACAATTAGACATTCATTATGTATGGGGAGTCAGCATAGGGCAAGTTCGGTTTCGGTTTATTTGAAAACACGTAGATAAGAATCACCGTGCACATGTCACTGTTAAACGTTAAGGGGGATGTGGGGGAGGGGGTTCATGTAGGAAGAAGGATGAACGGATTCGATTTATAATCATGGCTTAACACACTCAAAAGAGAAACTATTTAAATACGTTTATAGCTAGTAGAGATACAGGAACTGTACGTAATTAAAATCACGTTACCGTAGGATGACAGGCAGGTCAAATTGAAGGTCAAAATGGTGTAGTAGCAGACTGGGAGGAACTGGATTTTACGTATGAATGTGCTTGACAATTTGCACAGAATCATCGAGAAATTAACAACAACGACTAAAAAACATTTGCTACAACTCTGAATATTTGACGGGGGTATGGGATCTAGGATTCCTAGCTGAAATCCGTGCAATTTAGACGATGCCAAAACAAATGTAATATTTCTATTTTCATATTTCGTATGGACGGTATACCTAGAGCAATTACATTTCTTCTATTTGAACGTTGTCGGAAGTATTTTATGTACTGCCTATAATCAGATAAAGCTACCATGATATGAAATAATTCGATCTGTTCTTTCCCCAATAGGGTTCTAACAGTATTACTTAAAGTAACTATGTTTTATCGGCGTAATTCTACAAAAGGACGGTTGACGCCAAATTTCTGCCCCGCCACATTTTTGCCTGTCGTAGTAATGCGCGTGCCAGGAATTTAGGATGATCTAGAATAGAGTAAAATCAATGTGCATAGTTTACACCTATAAACGCTAGTTGGTGCAGAAGCACTGCAGTTCTAGGCAGTCACGCTAGAGTGTGCTGTCAACAAGACCCCTGGTGCACTGACCTCAACGACCTTTGACCCAAAGCCCTTCACAAAAGTTGTTCTGCAACTTCTTAAATCTACCATTGTTGTGTGTGTATTTAGAATCGTATATGTGGATTTGCCAACTCTAGAATAGGGAAGAAAAAACACAGCATTTTACAATTAATACTAAGTACTTTTAAATATCAAAAAATACCCAATGTCAAAATGTGAACATTTCTGATGAAACAACGAATACTAAATTACATGAGGGAATTCAAAGGAAAATCAAGTTTAAGTATGCAAGGAACAGAGATTGGCACAGTCCTAACGAACTGAACTGTAAAATGTAAGTAAACCCTGTAAATTCTAGGTGTGGCATTTATCTAGTAGTTGAACGACGACTCAAAGTGTTGAAAGAAACTCGACTTGAAAAGCTGTTAATAGAAGAGTACAGTAAGTACTTTTAAGTCATGATTCAATGCTTCTCTGGCATTGTTCTAATGTGGTTTACGCTATGTCTGGTAGCTGTATAATGGGGGTTGGGTGGGCACTACTGTATTTGAGTCTCAATCCCTCAGAGGCTACGCACATGTATGTATACATTAATATATGATACTGCTCTAACTAATGCTCTAACTAATTTAGGAATTGGAGGTGCCAAAATATGACGCCTTACGGGTGTGTTGAAACACAGCATGTCTGCCATGTTTGTTTACATTCTGGTAGTTTGTGGTGGCACCACATACTGAGTGCGCCTGGTGTTTGACAGAATTTATGGTGCAAAAATGTTACATATTCAACACTAGTGCTTCAAATATTGACTCGAACACAATTTTCTTGTTCTGGCAGAAACATGTCGCTGCAGCTCACAGAAGAACAGATAGGGGAGTTTAAGGAGGCCTTCGCGCTGTTCGACCAAGATGGCGACGGGACCATCACTACGGAGGAACTCGGGGTCGTCATGAGGTCACTGGGGAGGAACCCAACCGAGGCTCAGCTACAGGTGCGCGCGCGCATGGTGGGAGGGGGAGGGGGCTGTACGAACTACCTTCCTAGAGGACGGGTTCTGATGTGTATTAATTTTGTAATATAAACAATACAATACAATACAATACAATACAATACAATAATAAGATATACTACACATAAATTAAGTATCTCACAACTTACAGCTTTCATGAATTTCTTGTTTTATTCAATATTGTGAATTTTTTGCTGAATTAGTCAATTTATTATCCCATTGTCATATGTAGCAAGAAATTGATGACAGGCAGACAAACAAAAAGCTTGTTTGGGAACTGCTTCAATTATAGAATAATACCAAAAATGTTATTTCCTCATCCAGAATATTTTTGTTTTGCCTACCTGAAATGGCATTGAATGCCTTTAACCACGTAATAGACTGTTTTGTCATTAGAAGAGATACCGAAGCTCATGATTAGCCTTACGTGAATGTATATCATACTAGCACTTGATGTTTTAGTGACTAGGATGTTAAGATATATTTTATACCCTTTCCTTTTAGTACTATGTTCAATAGCCGCTGCCATATACTGTACCATGTACAACTGTCGTGCAATAAAGTTCTGCTATATGCAACGTGTTTCTACAGGAGATGATGAACACTGCAGACGCTGCCAGGAGCGGCTCTATCGACTTCGCGGATTTCCTGAAACTCATGGCCAGCAAGATGCTGAGCACCAACGTACAAGAGGAGATTATACAGGCCTTTAGAGTCTTTGATAAGGTACTAGGTGGGGAGGGGGGTTCTGCATTGTGTCTTTAATAAAGAGCTTGAGGAAACTTCTTTTCGTTCGACACCTTGAAAAGGCGATAGTCTGACTTATGCCAATCCTTCCACAAATTTACTAAATCACAATGACTAATAAACAAGAAACCCGACATTTCAGACTTTCTGAAATGATGTAATCCCCGGCTTTCTGAATCCCCCCATATCAACCACAACCTATTTCCTGTCTCTGACCTTTTGACTTGTCATTTCTTTTTACCTGTCGATTTTCTCCACCCACGTGCTATCAACCTACTCTGCCCTGACAGCCCAACTACCCCAAAATACTTCTGTACGCGGAAATAAAAAATCGAATTATTTTTGAAATTCTTTCAATTACCTGTCTTTGTTAGAAAAATCAATTCTGTCATTTTAAGTTACAGTACTATTAGAACGTTAACTGTGGATTTTTATCTTTCATTCCTCCTGGAATTTTCCGGGAATAAGGATGGCGATGGTTACGTCAGCGCTGCCGAGCTGCGTCACGTGATGACGAACCTGGGCGAGAAGATATCAGCGGACGAATTGGACGAGATGTTCCAAGTGGCCAATGTGGACGCCAATGGGATGGTAAACAGCTATTCATTGGTCCAACAGCTAATGGTCATATTGTTTTTGGTCGAACAGCTAATTGCCATGTTGTCATTCGTCAAACAGATAATTGCCATGCTATCATTAGTCGAACAGATAATTGCTATGTTGCCATTGGTCGAACAAATACTTGCCATGCTGTCATTGGTCGAACTAGTTAATTGCCATGCTATTATTGATTGAGCTGCTAATTGAGTTGGACAGTCAGTGTCGGTCTATAAAACTCCAGCAAGTAACTTTTAAGGATGTTTATTTATTTTACCTAAAGAGAAGCAAGAAATTTTGCTCTTATCCAGTGAAACTAAACAACTTGGCAAAGAATACTGACAATGCGCAAGAAAGAACAGGATTAGGAGGTATTATCGAGTGTACACCTAGATGTGAAGCTAGAATGTAGGCAATACTAATAGTCGTTATATTAAAAAATTTCAGATCAACTACACCGAGTTCGTCAGGGCAATGATGGAAGAGTCGTAAAGCAACATGACGGCCATGACATCATATTGTTTTCACCTCAACACGTTGAAAAACTGTCAACTGCAATCATAATATCGATGGCAAAAATAAATACTACATTATGTAAATTAATTAAGAAAACACGAAGGAATTTTTGTTGCACACAAGATTTATTCGGCATTATCATGAAAGTTTATCTGTGTTGGTAGTAATCATAGTTAAACGTTGAACTGGAATAAAGTTCAAGGTTTTACTATTCATTCGGCATTTTGCGTTAGCTTATATGTTAACGTTAGATGAACGTTCTGAAGTTGGCTTTAGAGTTGTTGCATAAGTTAATAGGTACATTATACTTTTATTGACATCTGATTTTTATCAGCTTATATCAAGCTTATATGTCTTAACAGAGAATGAGAAGGTTATAGTTCCAGGTCGTGATTTAATAGAAGTGTATATCAAGATTCCTGAGTTTTCTAGAAATCAAACCCTTCTAGGCCTAATGCTTACCTAACATTTCAACTCATAACCACCTAACTCTAAACAAAGGATATGTCAATCATCAATTTATATGTTCATACATGGGAATAGTTGGCTCATATAGTTTGTGAATAATTCGAGAAGTTCAGTTCTCCTCCAGCCATTTCTCTACCTTGTCCTCGTTGTTCTGACGCCATCTGATGTTCCTTTGTGTTGACTCGATCGCCTGTTGAAAGGCTCTAGTGGCTGATCCAAGGTTACGGTCTTTGGTGAACGACAGCAGCTGTCAAGAAATACATGAAAAAAAGTTAGAAAGCAGCTGTCAACAGATACATAAAAAAGTTAGAAAGCAAATGTCAACAGATACATAAAAAAGTTAGAAAGCAGCTGTCAAGAAATACATGAAAAAAGTTAGAAAGCAGCTGTCAAGAAATACATGAAAAAAGTTAGAAAGCAGCTGTCAACAGATACATAAAAAAGTTAGAAAGCAGCTGTCAAACTGTCAACAGATACATAAAAAAAGTTAGAAAGCAGCTGATGAATAAACATTAGCAGCTGTCAACAGATACATGACAGAAAATAAGTCAGACAGCAGCTGTACGTGTCAAGAGACAAACGAAAGAAAAAAGTTATGAACATTAAAACAAAAAATGCTTTCCCTAAGTCTTGCTCGTTTACGTCATTATATATGGCTACGTTTCATAACTAGACAGCGTTAACAGAAAATCAGCAAACGCTAAAAAGTATAGTTTGAAATATGGTATAAAAATGTAAATGAAATATGGTTTGTCTTCCAAAGTATCTGACTGTATCTTTTTATATCGCTCTCTTTTTACCTCAAATGAGTGGGCACCTATTTGAATTGAATTTAGTTATCGTAGTAACTAGTGTTAAAGGACTACTAGTGTTGACGAAAATAATTTTATTCGAGTAAGCTACGTTTTTGTACCAACCTTTTCGAGGTCCTTGTCAGTGCTAAACTGCGAGGTGACGACGGTTACTGTGTCGCCCAACGACGTGACTTCATTAAAGCTGAATCAAACGGAAAATCAAACGGTCAGATTATTTGAAATCAGTAGTCCTTTTGCCATTGGTGGAAGTTGAAACCGTGTTCTCCGAAAAATCCATGGGAGTAGCACGTAGGATTCCCAATACATTGACAATAAAATCTAATATAACAAGACTAATATATTATCAAAGTAATTTTTAACTTTTCAATCACATTACATTTTGTAATGATCTATACTATGATATTTCTCTGAAATCAACAGCGTAGACGACGTCGTTTTGGTCGTTATATTATATTTACATGTCACTTATAATCATCATACTACATATAATATGAAAATCTTACCTCTTGAAATAGAACTCCCAGTTGCCCACAAAGAATTCCCAAGCGAGATATTTCCCCTCCCTATTCAGAGCAACATTCTCGACGACCTCTGCAGACTTCTGCTTACGTATGAGTTTGCTGTCCAAGCTTTGCTCTAAATGACTAGAGAAAGAGAAATGCATAAAAAGCTTTGTTTTTCCATGCAGTAACATTCATTACATACGTCTATTAAGTTCTTACAAGGGGTTCCTGGGCAGATGCATGCAGTGGCTATATGTAGTGATCGTGCAAAGATCGTGCGACGATCGTACGACGTATGTGATTGGGCCTTAGAGGTATACAACAAAAGCACTTTATGCTCACGGTATCAAAATGTCACAGTCTGAGAAATGTGGACATATTCACGAAACTATATATTCACGGTGGGTGCAGCAAAAAGGAAAGTCCAGGAATTATTTGTTAACTGTAATGATAGTGACAGTGAAAACAGTGAACATAAAAGTACAGTGAAAAAATTAGAACTACAATATACGTACGTTTTGAGAATGTCGGCGTCCTGTGAGCAGGAGAGAGCCCTGAAAAGGGAGTTCTGCTCCCCTGAGCCATCTGCAGCCTGCCGGTACTGCTGCCAGGCGAACTCCCACTCAGCCTTACCGCCGTGGTGTATGGCTGTGCAGTAGACGGTGGTCTTCAGTCGCTCCGGAATGTGACTTGAATGTAATAGATGAACAGTATCCATTGTAAATGTGCCTTAATGTTAAAGGTGCCAAATGCAGTTTTAAAAAACGATGATATTTTACATTTAACAATATACAGAGTTTAAACTAAATCGGCACTAAAATGTACTTTATTAACCCAAGTGCAAAATAAATTACCCCTTAATTACTAAATGTGTGTCGACAATATAATCATGCAACAGAATGACAAGACGGTTTCTTGTAGGATCCTGGGCTAATTTGTGGCTGATCATTATTGGCCTGATGTGTTTGGAGAAGAAAAATGAGTAAAAACAATGTGTTTTCTTTCTGAGAAGATTATACTAAAACACCTCTGATCTTACCTGTTATTATTTGTGTCCATCCAGCGTTTGAACATAGACTTGGAGCGTGCTAAACAGTCCGCCTGATCGAACCTACAAGCGCTTCTTACTGCCAGCGCCTGGCCCATCCTGTGATAAATAAAATACGTACCAATTTTTGTTACCCTCAAACAGGCCGAAGTAGCAGTTTCGTACTGATTTGCTTCCAGACATTTTCATATGTTTCAATTTTCAATCATCTAACACTTAACATTATCTTTCGTTGTTCTGGGGGGGGGGGGGTAGATACGACATTGTCGTAAGCAAATACATACATACATATATCATTGATTAACTTTTATTATGAAGATGACCTGATGTTTGATATCTCATTTGAATTCCATTATATTAGATATCAACGGTAGATTACCCATTCTTTAATTGCATGTTCTCCAATATTTATTTATCTATCAAATATTGAACAGATACAACTGTTTACGAATTCACATATGAGAAGTTGTTTTGGAAGTCACCAATTATAATATGCTAAGAAGTGTGCGTCAGCTGCGGGCCACTTTAACGTTTACTATGATGGACATATTTTTGTAGGAAAGTAATGAATGTTCTTACTCTTCCTGAAAAGTGCCTGCCTCATCAGTCCAGCTGACATCATTGTAGAACGGCGTGATGAGCTGACCCATGTAGTCCTGTTGGTAAACAAAGAAACATGCTAAGAAATAGCGATGATGACTCGACTCCGCCCCTGAACCGTCGCCAAAAAATTGCAATTTGTCCACACACACACACACACACACACACACACACACACACACACACACACACACACACACACACACACACACACACACACACAAGTACAAAACCTAAGTAAATGCGAGTGTAATTTTTAAAAGGCTTAACGTTGATGATAATCATACCTTCCATTTCTTAGAGTTGTTTGTTCCAAGATTATCGCCTATGTAGCGCAGAGCTGACTCTGCCATATCCCACGCCACATACGACCGTTCTCGAACCAAGTACTGTGATAGGTCTAGAGCAACAGTGATGTCGAGCATGGACGCACTAAAAAAGACAATAAGACAATAAGCGCATACATTAAAGTCTGCTTTAAGTTTTTTTTACTAGCGTAATTATGGAAGAAAATATCTATTAAGTTTTTGATGGGTATACATATCATTTTACTTCTTAGGTTGGAAAAATATGAGAAAACTTACCCGGCCAGACTTAGGGCGTCATCCACAAGTGTTCCTCGGTTGACTACTGGTATGTCCTAAACATAACATATGTCGATTAGAACCTTTCATACAGTTACATTCAATCCAATGCATTTGTTGTCATCATTCATTTTGAATAGACAGTAACTTTTCAAAAAGATTACATAAAAAATATCCTCATACTCAGTCATAGCCTATTCAGTGTAAATCAAGCATTTTATTAAATTGGGAAAAGTCAGGTTTGACTTAATATCCGTCTCCCTAGCCTGTGCCATTCAATTCATTTGGTGGCAAGTTGGTTTTGTGGATAGGATTGTTGACTGCGAATATGAAGGCTCCGGGTTAAAGTCCCTGGTGGCACGATCCTTTGCCCAATTCTCCACTCATCAGGTGAAAATGAGTACTACCTAGCTTTGGTTAGGGACGTCCTTATGTGCAACTTATGTGTTACACCTAAATGTGTTTTATCTATACAAACAAGTATGCCCCCTCCCCGCCTACCCTAATACTATGCTGGTAGTAATACCCGGAATTCGTCACTCTTGAGATGGTTGATGAGAAGTCTCCAGTTGTTGATATCGTAGTTTACCCTGTAATAACCAACTCGCCCAACATTTCCCAGCATCCAATCGTCTGCGTCTGCTCCCTCCAGGTCAATGACCTCGGTATCTACAGTAAGGCAAAAACAAGAAAAGAATATGTGCCTCCATGAAGTGTTATATGATCTGGGATTTTTATTATGAATTTCTCTTCTTATTCTATGTGTATTCTACTGTAACTTGCTGTCAGTTTATTGTGTAACCATTTTGACCTTCAATTCGACCTCACTACGATCCAACAAGTGGGGATGCCATTTTGACCTCCAAATTGACCTTTCTGTCCGTCTGCGCACTCTCGACCCACTTCCTGTCATTCTATTGTATTCATATTATCACGGATACACAAGTAAATCAACATACTAGTACAAGCACGCCTAAAGCAAAAAAAACACACAACCTAGATATGTCCAAAGGTATTTTGTTTAATACTCCTTAGTAGCCTACAACTTTGAACTTTGGTATATATCCCAAAATTCATCCGCAAGTCTAAACTGTGAACCGGTTTATAGAGATAACTGTTTACCTGATGTTGGTTTCATCCAAACGCTCTTGGGGTTCTCGCTGCCGGTACTTTGAGTTGTAAAGCTGACAGGCACGTACCATTTATATCTATATAAATGAAAGAGGTAAATCTTGAAATGTTTGTGGTGGTTTTATTCTTTGCGATGCATGATCTCGAGCTCAATGGTGAATTGAGGAATTTCAATTCATACTACTAATCAAAAATTATGTACGGCAATATAGTTTGACAAATACTATTATGACTTTATTGACTATTGTCTAAATGTGAAATGTCTTATCCATTATCTCATACTAGCCCTGTAAATCAAGCATTGATTATAAATAATCATAAGAAATTTTACTTGAAAAGCTAATTTAAGACGGCTAAAAATCAAATGGCTAAAAAGACTTGGACTTTTAGATAAACTTAGATAGACATAAGATTAGATAGACACTAACTGTATATTCAACTAAATAGACATAAACTGTACAATTCAAAGGTGAATTTGAAACTTACACGGATTTGGAACCCGGCGCTTTGGTGCTGACAGAAGCGTCTTTCAGGAAGTGCTGTTGCGTCACTTCCGCCTTACCGCTGCTGTAGTCCCTGGCGAAGGTGATGACGGGATAGCCCTTCTGTAGGATCCAGGTGTCCATCATGACCTTGACATCGAGATCCTCCCGACCTTCGGCATTCAAAGCCTGGCGATATAAAACGGAATGAGGAAATACAAACATGACCTTTACCCCTGATCACGTGATATCCACTCAGAGCTGAAGAAATATGGCGGACGCCATTTGAAAGTCAAATTCCCTCAAATCTGAACTTCGTAATAGTTTGATCTTAATAATCAAATACATTCAGGATTTGAAATATTATATCTATCCAGATAACGATTGAAAAATATATATGTCTATTAAATATACGCAGATGTTGGTATTTAATGTCAATTCAATCAGTGGGCCAAATTGACATGACCAATTGGTGAACATGAAGATAAGTACCTTTGTAAACTCCGCCCACAATTGGTCCTGGACTGTGTTGCCATATGCGTACTTTTGAAGATAGCTCTGTAACAAACAAGTGAAGAAAGAAAATATGATTATCGTAATTGAGAGTTGTTGCGTAATAAGCATTAACAATATGACAACCCTTTTTGGTTTTCGTGAATTTTTTAGTGAATTATTATATTTACTATATTTAGTAAAGCCACCTGCAGTGTATTTTGTGAGGAAATCGTAGCAAACTCTAATTGCCATAAATAATACTAGTAGGTGTTGTACCGACATTTTCCTGGATTTTGTTTGTTTACCTTCCTGTTTGGGGACAAAGGTTACATTTCATAGAGCAAAGACTGTAATTCTTTACTTTACTTTAAAGACCATTATTACCTTGAAGGCTCTTCTAAAGGCTGTATCTCCAACAGCATGGTGCAGCATTCTTACCACTGCCGCTCCCTGAATAAAAAACAATAATCTAAAATTAAGAGTATATGAAGGGTCAAAGTGGCTGTAGGATTTTGGTTAGACTTAGGATCTAGAAGTTTATTTTTTTTTTGTTTTTTTTTTGTTCATTTGAAGATAGTGAGAATAAGCATACGCATATACTCACAATTCTTCCTGGAGTCGTAAAAATACATATCATTACAAAACGTATTAACACAGACGTATGTACACTTGCTTATTACGACACATGCATGTGCTGTCAACCTACGGTCATACAACTTAGCTGCTCAAAAGCGTTACTCTGCACTTGAAAGTAGCAAAAAAATAAAACATATGATAAAGACTACTGAGTACTGACTATGAGATCATTGTCAACAATACTGTACGAGAAAGTGTGGAAACACTACAGTAGCGACCTTTGTGTATGTGATGCCATCGAAAATTTCCGCGATTTGGCTGGGTCGGTGGACTGGTTGATACACAGGTCGAGATGAGGACAGGGAGTCCTGTTCCATGGTGCGCCTTACGTTAGATGTAAACATGTCCATCTGGAACAACAGTAAATAATTGTTAAACAACAATAAACATAAATAACTGTTTACCTATTCTGTAGATCACAATATAGAGCACGTCGGTAGAACGTACTGCGCCTGCGCGAGACCCTTATTTTTCACGGTTTCCGTTGGATTTTTGGTCAAAGTTGTATCAGAATTTCGCCTGTTGAAGACGATATCTTTTCTGACGCAACATTTGGAAACTACGGACGGAGTGTTAACCTTATATGCGTGAATATGGCCTTATTTGAGACGTTCTGCCTTAGTCCTATGCATGATACATTACGGGTTTGGCGCACAATGTAGCAACTTGACAACTTCACAAATCACCTGGATTGAGGCTGTCTTGTGCTATTATCATGATTTCTTACAATTTTCATGTCTGGTTCGGCAAAGTCTGTTCCGAGTTGTCCCATGTAGGTGGTTATTCCCTCATTCAGCCAGAGACCATCCCACCACTTCATGGTCACCAAGTCACCAAACCACTGCGAACAAGAAATCAGAGATTACAAATTACAAGCTGGCAAAACACAGCTTTCGCCCTATGGGAATTCTTTTGCTTTCTTCCGCTCCAGGGATGACGTCGAATTCGGAAGATTCGAGGACAAATCTTGAAAAGAAAAGGGGGAGTCGTGCAACAGTGTGTGTGTGTGGTGGGGGGGGGGGTA